TTTACATCGGAACGAATAACGAATCGTAGAAAGGCTGGTTGTACCACTCGCAAAATCGAGCCTTCAACCTACTTTACAGCAATAACGATGCCACTTCTCAATGCGCTATATTCATCGCTGGGTGAGCTCAAAATACTATTTAAATTGAAAATGCAGAAAAAGTCTGTATTGTTTACTATGCCTAAAAAGGAACCGGTTGGTAAGGCAATTGCGACTGCATATCCGCAAGATGAAAAAAACATTCCTGACTACGAGTTCCCGGACAGGTAGTGTATAATTTTCAAGAAAATTCAGATCACAAGTTCGTGGATGAGTGACGCTTGAGCGCGTGGTACTGAGGTGAAGACATTTTCGATGGCTACTGGCCCCTGAATGGAGTGCTTCTGAATATCACACATCCGTCTAAAAAATCTATTAGGAGTTAATTGTTAAAGCCAAAGCTAAATTTTGAGTTTTTGCAGCATTTAGAGTTACGAAATTTTAGCAACTGGACTCAAGTAACATGAAGACTGAAATAGTAGATCTGGGTAAAGCATGTACTGATGAATAAATCCTGCAGCAGACTGCGTGTCATCCTTTTTGATTTTTCTTGGAACACATCATGTTTCATCCACTTTAGCTACAAACAAACACATTCACGAACGGAGTTCACTTTCCGAAAAAAAGTATGGGCTAGAATCAAACCACTTCTCTTCACATCTAAATAAACGTGCTACCGGCTATACTACCGGTCTCTGTGCTTCAGTATCAGCTTGGCAGTGTATCTGCTGTGTGACTGCTTTTTAAGGCAGAATACACATTTCTAGCTTCCTCCCACAGATAATATACATCTTTTTCTTTGTAACGGCTTCTTCATTGCCGGCTTTTCGCAACTTTATGTGTAAGTTTTGCATACAACTGAAATTTTGCTTTGCTTTGGTTTGCAAAAACCTTGCATATTTCGCGTGTTCGCTTAAAACTATGACAGTGCGATCTTCGCGAAAAATTCAGTTAATCCTTCTGAGGAATGAATCAGGTGAAGTAATTAGCAAATAATTTCAGTGGCCATGTGAAGGTTAATTTGACGGATGCCGATATGGCGCTACTCGAAGGGGCACCATCCGATCCAAACTTGCGATCGCAGTCGCCCTCGCTGATTTCCAGCCCCTCCTTATTAAAAGTGTTAGTTCAAGAGAAATTCCACTTTCGTTAGCCTCTTTTATGAAAGTATTGTGAAAGATTTATTACTCTAAACGTGGCAGGGCAGCGCCGTATCGGTTGATCTCTAAATGTAAAACTTGTTTGGTGGTTCACTTATTGCGAGTGTTAAAGATATCCACGATTCATTTGTAAATGAGGGGGGGAGGGGTTCTTTTTTATGCGCTTTTGCTGTGCAGCGCTATAGCAGCGCTATAGCGCTGCTACAGCCAGCAAAAACG